TGGCTTGGAGAAATTTTATTAGAATGGGAGCAAGACATAACATAAGACAGAGGATTAGTATGGGAATTAGGAATGGAAGCATCTGCTGTACTACAGGCAGCAGCCATACCGGTGGCCCGGGGGTTAAGGGGCGTTAAATTGTTGAAGCTCCTTTTTGATTTTGTTTAATGTTTGGACATTGGTGTCAACCAGGCCTGATTCATTTACGTGGTAGCAACACTCCTCTCCTAGGAAGAGGCATGTTCCTCCTTTTTCAGCAGTAAGAAGATCTAATGCCCGTCTATTTTGTGCTGCTACCTGGGCCACTGAGGTAATCTGATGTTGTAAAGAGGCTAAGCTTTCAGCTGAAGCCTCTATGTCTGCCTGGACCTGAGTGGAGAGGGTCTGTGTAGATTGAATCGAGTGGGTGAGGGCCCCTGTTCCAAGTCCTGAGGCTACTAGGGACGATGCTAGGGAAACCCCGATAATTACACCAAAAGTAGCCTCCAACGGGGGCCGTCTGGGTCCTGCTGGGAGCTTGAGTGCAATCACACCACGAAGAGTTTGGAGTAGAGAAGCAAAAAGGAAGGGTTTGACTCTGTGGATTACGGTATAATGGGACTTGAGGCAAGGATGTTGCTCGAGAAGAGCTGGTAGAGTCGGTGGTGATACTGAAAGCGGTTGGTAGCGGGACTGCCACTAAGGGAGCTTTTCCAAGTGCAGCGCAAAGGAAGCAGTGGGAGAGGTTCCTTACTCCAGCAGCCTGGGTTAAGTCCCTGCGAATAAGTATTAGCCATGAGAATGGGTCCTCCTTATTAGGGGGACTTGGGGGGCTTAACAGCTTCTGTATTTTCTGTTCATGAGATTTTACAACAGAGGTTAAATTTTGTAGGGCCTGTACACTCTTAGGAAGATGTACTTGTTTACTTTTAGGGAGGTGTACTTGTTGCACGTATACTCTATTTGGAGGGTTGCGGTGGGATATGAGGACCAAGATGTTGCATATAGTCCACCTTTAACTCTCTGAGCCTACCGGGGGTCCCAGGGATCCTTAATATTAAGAATGTATCCTCCTGATGTTCTGTTTCTTACAAAAGGTCGATCATTGGGGATGCAAATGCCATTTGCACCCATTAAACCTATCTCATGCATGTTGCAATAGTTGTAAGGACACCCCAGGTTGGTCTCTTGCCAGTCATTTTTACACTTATATTCAGTTTGGTCGTACAAGAAACATACAACTGGGCGGTTGTAGTTGCCGACAGAACTCAGGTGAAAGTTAAGGAGGAGGGCAGCTTGGCAGCCCTGGGGGGAGCAATCTGCAGTACCTTGCGTTTGTGAGTGAGCCTGGTTGTCAGTAGACCAGGTTTCAGTTACAGAAAATCTCCATACAAATTTAGGATTAGTAAGGCTAGCAGGAATAATTAGAGTGAACCATAATAGTGGTAACAAAGGTGTAGAGGGTAAGTTCAACATTGCTGAAATCATAAAGGGCACCTTGCCAAGCTAGGTCTTCTATGAGAGTAAAAAGTCGGGAAACCCAGTGGTCGGGGGAAGGGTCGGGAAGGAAGGTTTCTAGAGGGTCTATGAGGGGAAATTCAGTTAAGTTGAGATGGAGAATAGTGAGAAAGCAGGAGAATTTGAGGAGGGTGTTGATCCTTGAGTAGAACCTGGTCACCTGGAGAAAGGGAAGGGGAATAGATGTTTTGAGTTAGGTTAAGATGTCTCGTCCCAAGAGGGGGGTGGGACAAGAGGGCATGATGAGGAAAGAGTGGGCAAAGCATGCATAGTCCGGGCAGTAAGTTAACATTGGGGTCTGGCGAGGGTTAGACGGTTTACCATCTACCCCAACTACTGAGATAGTGGATGGCTGGCTAGGACCTCCATAGGTTGGCGAAACAGAATAGGTAGCCTCCGTATTGATGAGAAAAGAAATTGGCTTACCCGCTATCTGTAGAGTTACCCTAGGGTCGGCGAGGGTGACTGGGGTCTCCGAGTGTAGTCACCGTCAGTCGTCGTCCAGGTGTAGGAGCTGGAAGGAGCCTTCCGGCCTTTGAGGAGAGGCACCACGTTGAGGCGCAATGCCTGCCCTGCTGGCAGGGCAATCAGACTTCCAATGTCCTTCCTGTTGGCAGGTTGGGCACGGCATGGTAGGCAAGCGAGGATTTGGACACCTTTTTGCCCAGTGCCCAGTTGTGCCACACTTAAAGCATGGACCAGACGGAGTGGCCGGCTTGGCCTGGGGACACTGGTTTGCCCAGTGTCCTGGGTCTCCACATTTATAGCAGGAGCCCTTAAGAGACTTATCTTTGGTTTTCCCTGCCGGCAAAGTGGGCAACGCAGGTTGGAGGGCAGCCACTAAAGCTTGTGCCTGAAGGGCGGCCTTCTGTTCTACTCTGGCTTGTCGAAGAGCCTCAGCTGTTTCTTCTCTAGAGTTAAAAACTTTGAAAGCTAGCTTGACTAAGTCCTGAATGGGGGTTTGAGGTCCATCCTCTATCTTTTTAAATTTTTTTTTCGGATGTCAGGGGCCGACTGGGAAATAAAATAACTGGCAAGGACAGTAGCTCCTGCCAGAGAGGTAGGATCCAGTCGGGTAAATTGGACAAGTGCCTCTGTAAGGCGATTTAAAAAGGAGGCAGGATTTTCCTCTGAGTATTGAATAACCTCCCGTAACTTATTAAAATTTACTATTTTGTTAGAGGCTGCCTGCATGCCAGCTAAGAGGCATTGTATCATAAGGTCTCTTCTGCAATGCCCGGGTTGTTGAGGTTGGTAGTCCCATTCAGGATCTGTAGATGGGACAGCTTGTTCGCCTACTGGGCTGGCAGGGTCAGTTAAGTGTAACTGGTCTGCATGCTGCCTGGCGGCTGCAAGAATGCGCTCTCTTTCCTCTGGCTTAAGAGTGGAAGTAAGAATGACATGTAAGTCATGCCAGGTAAGGTCATATGCCTGGCCTAGGTATCGAAACTCTTTGGAATATTGGGTGGGGTTGGCTGAGAAGTCGCCGAGTTGTTCTTCAATTTTGGAAAGGTCAGCCAGGGAAAAGGAGACGTGGACTCTAACCACGCCCTCAGCTCCAGCAACTTCTTGGAGGGGGGCCAACAAACTAGCAGGGGAGGTTGGAACAGACTGACCAGTAGGGTAGGTTAAGACAGGCTGACTGGTAGAGGGGGTTGGGGCAGGCTGACTGGTAGAGGGCTGACTAGTGGGGGCCGCTACCGCGGTCTTGGAGCGAGTGTGGGCGGAAATGGGAGAGGTAAGAGGAGTGGGTGAGGGAGGGGCGGTAGGAGGAGCATAGGGAGGAGGTTGGTAGGTCGGGAACGTCGGCCCCATCTGAGATGGAAGTAGAATCTTCCTCCGCTTGTGGTGTGGGGGCCAAGGGCTGGGTTTTAGCTAACAAGACCTGGGCCATTGAACACTGGGCACACAGGTCTGGGCGAGAGCGCAAGTCCTAAAAGCCTTGGACATAGATAATCTCTGACCACTTTCCAAGCCTTTGGCAGAAATTAGAGAGATCTAATAGAATGTTATAGTCAAGTGTGCTGTCTGGTGGCCATTGATACTGGTTGTCTAATTTATACTGCGGCCATGCCACAGTGGAGAGGAAAATTAGCCGCTTTCGTTTTAAATCTTGAGCTAAATGTAAGGCTTCCAAGTTTTGGAGGAGACACCTTAAGGGGGTGTTCCTAGGGATTTTGGATTGTGAGGTTCCCATTGTTTAACCACCAGAAATGGAAACCGACCTCACGCAGTGGCAAAGCGTCCTTTGCCGCTGCTAGAGACCGGGGGCTCCTGGAGCCACTAACGGAGAATTGAGGAACTTCAAGACGGACGTGTCCGGGTTGAAGGCCTCACTGCGCCACAGGGTGGCTACGTCCTTGGGCGTGCGCACGACTCCAGGCCAAGGACACGGAAACGGACGGAGATGGTTAACAAAGGGGAGTACTCACCGAAGAAGAAATGCTCAGAGCGGCACCAGTGGAAAGCTGGAACACTTGTTCGGTGTTGGTGGCTGGTTGGGTTGGGAGCCGGTTCGCTGGGGAGGAGGTTCCTCAGACCCCTAGGGGATGTTGAGGAAGGGTCTCTTCCCGGGTCGGGTTTCGGCACCAGCTGTTTTGTTTAATTTAATTTAATTTAGGAGAGCTAAGTAATTAAACATGAGGCCAAAGTACATAAGAAAGTGGCAGTCTTTTATTGCAAATATGCACACACTCTCGGGCGAGGTTCTCTGGTCCTCAGGTGTAGGGGGCCAGGGAAGTCGCGCCGGCGCTCTCGGGTGAGGTTCTCCGGTCCACGAATGCGGGGGCCGAAGAAGTCACGCCAGCTCCTGCCGGCGGCGGACTTTTATGCATTGGTACTGGAAGGGGGAGGGCAGTGGGCGGGATAAGGGCGTGATAGGGGCGTCTCCATAGGCGTGGCCGGGTAAGTTTCGATCTCTTCGGATTGACGTCACCTGGCACGTGCTCGGTTGATCTGCATCTTCCCGGGCGTGGGCTGCATTTGCCTGCACACGGGAAAGTTGGTGAGGAAGAACGCGGAAGCAACATGGATTGTGCCTTCTTGTTCACCTTCCTCCATCTTGTCCTTTCTCCCTCACCCAAACAGTTTATAATGGGAAAAATAATACCATGTCAGTATACATTATGAATACTGTTGATTTCAGTACGCCAAATTGATTATTCTTGTTTGCACATCTCAGTTATTAACTAACACCCCAGAATTGGAATAAAGAGAAATGGGTCTGCTGAAATTTCCCCTCTTCCTTTCTTTCCAGTGTAGCTTATCTCCCACAGAAATCCAGCCAAACTTCATGCCTGCTAGAATGTGTGGTTACAGTGGTGGCAGACTGTCATTTCAAATAACCAAAATGTGTTAACAGCTTAAGTTAGCTGTCAGCTATGTGGGTTTGAACCAGGAGCCTAATGATGAAAACGGCTTATATCTCTATCCTACTGTGATTAGCATCTTGAGTTATTCTCTTCCTCCATTAGTAATTCCCTTTTCCTGTTTCCTTCTCCTAGCACTCCAGTTCTCGCCTGAATTACCAAAGCAACGTTCAGGGATCCTCTCAGTCCCAGAGCACACTTGGCTACTCTTCCTCGTCTCAGCAGAGCTCACAGTACCACCCATCTCACCAGGCCCACCGGTACTGACAAGCTCCCCTTGGGCCAGCCCAGCCCAGAGCACAGACTCCAGCAATATGTCTGCATTAAAAAGAACCAAAAAGATGCAAACTATGATGCCATTTAAAACTCACACACGTGGGAGGAAAACCTTATATACTGAGCATTTTGCAGGACTGATATCTCTTCTTTATTGACTTAAAGAAGATTCTTGTGAAGTTTCCCCAGCACCCCTTCCCTGCATGTGTTCCATTGTGACTTCTCTGATAAAGCGTCTGATCTAATCCCAGCACTTCTGTAACCTTCAGCATTTTTTTGAAGGATTTCCTGGTGCACCTTTCTCATGCTGTAGCAATCACTATGGTTTATCTTTTCAAAGCTCTTTTAATAGGATTTTAATGTTTTAGAAACAGGATTCCAGTGGTGTATAGTTTTATACTTCATGAACTGATTTAGCAACACAGGTAAAAATGCACCTTTTAAAGCACTACGTTTTCACAGACAATAACTGTTCTGCTCATGGAAGTCTTAAACAGAAACCGTTACTGTCCCAAAGTACTTTACTATTACGTTCTTATTTATCTAGTTTCAGGGAAGGTCTAATAAAAAGACAAGTGGTGGGACAGAGGAAACCTACAACCAAAAACTGCCTAGATCTTTGCAGTTACTATGCTTTATGCTATGAAGAACTGAAGTGTGTGGTAATTTTTATATAATCATTCATATGGAACTTAGTTCCCAGCATCATCTTATTCTGAATAGCATTCAGTAATTGAGAATTATAATTTTAACCTTCATGTAGCTAAGTCTACCTTAAAAAGGGTTTCAAGAGCTTTGATGAAATACAGTCTCGATGGCCCACACCAAAACGCTGAAGAGAGTATCAACTGCACTAGGATTTCTTTAAGGAGTAATTTTGATCAAAAGACGTGTTACTTCCCTTTGAAGGAAAAGTTTTTATTGTGTATTGTACATAAAGTCGGCTTCTCTAAAGAACCATTGGTTTCTTCACATCTGGGTCTGCGTGAGCAACTTTCTTACTTATTATAATCAAGGGTACTCAAGTAGAAGCCTGCAAATTAATCTGCTTTTAAAATAAAGAGCAGTGTTCTCCATTCGTATTTGCATTAGACATAGAGTGACTATTTTTAAAGCATGTTAAAAATTTAGGTTTTATTCATGTTTAAAGTATGTATTATGTATGCATAATTTTGCTGTTGTTACTGAAACTTAATTCTATCAAGAATCTTTTCATTGCACTGAATGATTTCTTTTGCCCCTAGGAGAAAACTTAATAATTGTGCCTAAAAACTATGGGCAGATAGTATAAGACTCTCTACTAGACAACGTGAATTATTTGCATTTCCATTTTCTATGAATTAGTGGCTGAGTTCTTTCTTAGCTGCTTTAAGGAGCCCCTCACTCCCCAGAGTCAAAAGGAAATGTAAAGACTTAGAGTTCCCATTGTAATGTCAGGGGCAAGAAATTTGTGTTCTTCTGAATGCTACTAGCAGCACCAGCCTTGTTTTAAATGTTTTCTTGAGCTAGAAGAAATAGCTGATTATTGTATATGCAAATTATATGCATTTTTAAAAACTATTCTTTGTGAACTTATCTACCTGGTTATGATACTCTGGGTCCATACACAAGTAAAATAAGGTTAGACAGAAGCCAGTATACATTTTGCACTATTGATGTGATACTGTAGCCAGCCAGGACCTTACTGATCTCAGCATAATAATGCTCACTAATAATAATGAAGTCTGCATAGTGACACTCATCAAGACTGAAGATGAAGCAGGTTACATGCTCCATTGGAAGGAGTTTCTGACAGTCTCCTGCTGTTTTACCCCTTCCATTTTTTAAAATAAGAAATTAGCAGCCCTCTGCATAATGTAGCTGCCTATATGCAGTTTTATCGTGTGCCCTAAAACCTCACTGTCCAGAGCTGTTGGTCATCAGATGCTCACTGCACCCTCACTGTGTGCCCAGTGCCCTGCTGGGTGGAGAACACAGAGGACAGGGCATACTTCTGTCCTTAAGGAGCTTGTGATCTGTTCTGTGACAGTAAGCCCTCCTGGGATGTCTGTGCCATGTGATTGACTTATAAGTGAAACTGTCTTATAATATGAAGGTCTTTTTGTTTACTTCTAAACCCACTTGGGTAGTTACTATCCCCAAATCTGTTCTGTAAATAATATTATGGAAGGGTTTCTATGTCAGTCTACCTTAGAGAAAGCCAGTGATTAAATATCACAAAAGACATCGATGTATCTTTGAAATGTTCACATCAGCCTTTTAACAACAATTGGGTGGTCCTTGTAGGCAGAACATACTCTCCTAAGTGGTTGTAGGAAATTGCAAGGAAAATAGAAGCTCTGTTCCTGCTCTCAAGGGAGATTACCTTTAATAAAAGAAGACAAACCCAAATAGATATGTAAACCAAAATACTATGCCCCTTAATACTTTATAAGCAGCATTGTTATAGTTCTTATGCTTATACATTCGCAGAACTACCCTGCTTTCCTTGTGTATAATGACTTTTACTGGCAGAACTGAAATATAAACTGTAAGGGGATTTCGTCAGTTGCTCCCAGTATACAATATCCTCCAGGACATAGCCAGAAATCTCCATTCCACACATGACTGGGTTCCTATCCCTGCACTGGTACTGGCTCTTTTCTCCTCTTTCCTTGCCTCAGGGTTAGTGCTACCCACTGATTCCCTTTACCCTTAGGAATAATTTTGGATCATTTTCTTTCTCTTTAAAGGGGAACAAAGCCTTTTTTTTTTTTGAAACGGAGTGTCACTCTGTCACCCAGGCTGGAGTGCAGTGGTGTGATCTTGGCTCACTCCAACCTCTGCCTTCCAGGTTCAAGTGATTCTCCTGCCTTAGTCTCCCGAGTAGCTGGGACTACAGGCATGCACCAACACGTCTGAGGAATTTTTGTATTTTTAGTAGAGACGGGGTTTCACCCTCTTGGTCAGGCTGGTCTTAACTCCTGACCTCAGGTGATCCACCTGCCTCGGCCTCCCAAAGTGCTGGGATTACAGGCGTGAGCCACTGCGCCCGGCTGGGAACAAAGCCTTTTTAACACATGTAAGGGCCCTCAAACCGTGGGACCTCTAAGAAGACCTGTGAAGCTTTTTGAGGGCAAACTTTACCTTTGTGGTCCCCAAATGACTGCATTTCTCTTTGAAATTTATTAGATACCGTTATGTCCCCCAAGGGTGCAGGAGGGGCAGCCCTCAGCCTATGGGAACACCCAAAATAGGAGGGATTACTGACAGGAAGGAATGAATCCAAGTGAAGGCTTTCTGCTCTCCATGTTACAAACCAGTTTCAGAGTTAGCTTTCTGGGGAGGTGTGTGTTTGTGAAAGGAATTCAAGTGTTGCAGGACAGAGGAGCTCAAGATAAGGTAGCTTTGGCAGCAGGGCAGGCTGAAACAATCCTTGTGATGAAGGAGATCATGCAATGACATACAAAGACCAAGGATTTATGTATATTTTTGTATCTGTGTGGTTTTGAAACTTTAGTACTTAGAATTTTGGCCTTCTGCACTATTTTGCTCTTACGAACATAATGGACTCTTAAGAATGGAAAGGGATGACATTTACCTATGTGTGCTGCCTCATTCCTGGTAAAGCAACTGCTACTTGTTCTCTATGCCTCTAAAATGATGCTGTTTTCTCTGCTAAAGGTAAAAGAAAAGAAAAAAATAGTTGGAGAATAAGACATGCAACTTGATGTGCTTTTGAGTAAATTTATGCAGCAGAAACTATACAATGAAGGAATAATTAGATGGAAATTACAAATCCAAAACTCTGTGGTGATGTCTTCCTAGAGAGTAGAGAAAGGCCGTGAAATGGCAGTTAGACCAACAGAGGCTTGAAGGATTCAAGTACAAGTAATATTTTATATAAAACATAGCAGTTTAGGTCCCCATAATCCTCAAGAATAGTCACAAATATCTTATAACAAAGTTCATTGTTTTAGGATTTTTTAAAAATGTGTTGTACCTAAGGCCATACTTACTCTTCTATGCTATCACTGCAAAGGGGTGATATGTATGTATTATATGAAAAAAAAAAAACCCTTAATGCACTGTTATCTCCTAAATATTTAGTAAATTAATACTATTTAATTTTTTTAAAGATTTGTCTGTGTAGACACTAAAAGTATTACACAAAATCTGGACTGAAGGTGTCCTTTTTAACAACAATTTAAAGTACTTTTTATATATGTTATGTAGTATATCCTTTCTAAACTGCCTAGTTTGTATATTCCTATAATTCCTATTTGTGAAGTGTACCTGTTCTTGTCTGTTTTTTCAGTCATTTTCTGCACGCATCCCCCTTTATATGATTATAGAGATGACTGTAGCTTTTCGTGCTCCACTGCGAGGTTTGTGCTTAGAGCCGCTGCGCCCCAACAAGGCCTGCTCCATGGAGTGCAGGACGAGCTACTGCTTTGGAGCGAGGGTTTCCTGCTTTTGAGTTGACCTGACTTCCTTTTTGAAATGACTGTTAAAACTAAAATAAATTACATTGCATTTATTTTATATTCTTGGTTGAAATAAAATTTAATTGACTTTGCTTCCGTGTGGATTTTTTAAATGTAAAAAACTCTTATAATAAGGTTTAGTGGCTGGGTGCAGTGGCTTATGCCTGTAATCCCAGCACTTTGGGAGGCTAAGGAGGAAGGGTTGCCTCAGGCCAGGAGTTTGAGACCTGACTGGGCAACATAGTGAGACCCCATCTAGTGTTAAAATTTTATCTGTGTGCCTAGAAGCTTTTATAATTACATTTGTCCTGCAGAGATACGAAGTCCTTCTGTGAGTTCCAATATGTTATTTTGTTCAGGATGCTATAATGTCATAATACTGCAAAGCAAGCAAGGCTTACAGGTACTTCGTAAGTAAAATTGCAGGTTTTTTACATCTTCAGGAGAAACATCTTTTTCAAAAAAAGTAAATTAGAATTATTTTTAGAAAAAGACTAATAAGCATTTGTGGATGGGGTTGGATTGGGAGTTTTTTGTTTTATAAGGGCACTCTGTGGTACCTGGCTGCTCCTTCTATAATTCATTTGATGAGTCTTCTATGGTTGTTGCTCCACTATCCAAAGGCATCACAGAGTGAATTGAACAATGTTTAAGTGGCATAAATACAGAGCTTTCATTTCTATTTAAAATAATCACATCCCACTTGGCTGCTTCTCTTTTTGGCACGAATTTTATACTCAGTGCTGTGCTATTTGTAGGATAGATCTTCTCCTGGAAAACTGTTCTTTGGCCTCAGCTGCCTTTCTCACCAGCCATCTGGGTAAGAGAAAGCAGACGACGAGACAAACCCTTTACCACTCCTGGGAGAACTGGAAAGGTCATATCTATCACCTTAGCAGACTGTAAATTCTTGTCGATAGGGCCTGAGTTTTATTCCCCTCTTTCCCAGCAGCTGTCAAGATACCCAACACAGAGCAGATGCTTAATATGGTAAGTCATAGCATCACTTGTACACTTGCATAGAATTCCTGGGTCATATAATATTTGTATATGGATAAGGATGAACATAATTTTGTTCTGTGAACAATAAAAATACTAGAAACAGGTGTCACTTTTTTTTTCTTTTGAATAGACGGGGTCTGTATTGTCCAGGCTGGAGTGCAGTGGCTATTCACAGATGTGATCATAACACTCTGTGGCCTCAAACTCCTGGCCTCGCTGGATCCTCCTTCCTCAGCCTCTCAGGCGCAGGCCACTATGCCTGGCTTGCTTGCTTTTATTTTTCCTTTTTTTTTTTTTTTTTGAGATAGAGTCTCACTCTGTGGCCTAGGCTGGAGTGCAGTGGTACAATCTTGGTTCACTGCAACCTCTGCCTCCTGGGTTCAAGCAATTCTCCTGCCTCAGCCTCCCAAGTAGCTGGGACTACAGGCATGCACCACCAAGCCCAGCTAATTTTTTGTATTTTAGTAGAGACAGGGTTTCACCACGTTGCCCCCAGGGTGGTCTCCAACTCCTGAGCTCAGGCAATCTGCCCACCTCGGCCTCTCAAAGTGTTAGGATTACACGTCTGAGCCACTGCACTCAGCCAGAAGCCATCTTTCTTTTGGCTACCTAAAGGTAAGCATTTTAAAGCCTTGCATAGCATCATTTTATCTAGTAGGCAATAGGAAACCAGCTTGGACAAGCAACATACAAACCTAAAAGGAAATTTCATTTCTCTAAATGAGAGAATATAGTATTGGGGAAAAAAATGAAAATGTTGACTTAAAACATCAAAATGTATCTCTTCAGCACATTCTTTGTGGCATACGTTTTTTCAAAAAGTGCTGCTGTGTCTTTATTGAAAAATCAATTGACTGTATGTGTTTGAATCTATTTGCGGACTTCTTATTCGGTTCCATTTAACTGTTGTCCATTCTAAGCCACTATCATTATTATTATTATTGAGACAAGTTCTTACTCTCTTGCCCAGGCTGGAGTGCAGTGGTGTGATCACAGCTCACTGCAGCCTCAACTTCCCAGGCTCAAGTGATCCTCTCACCTCAGCCTCCCAAGTAGCTGGGACTACAGGCATATGCCACCACACCCAGCTAATTTTATTTTATTTTTTTTGTAGAGATGAAGTCTTGCCATGTTGCTCAGCCTAATTTGAAACTCCTGGGCTCAAGTGAACCTTCTGCCTCGGCCTCCCAAAGTGCTGGGATTACAACCATGAACCACCACGTCTGGCCTCACTATTTTAAGTATTGGAATTTTAAAATAAGTCTTAAAACAAGGTAGGGTAAGCCTTACAACTTTGTTTTTCTTTGCAGGACTATTTTGGTTACTCTAGATTCTACACATTTCCATATACATTTTAAAATCAGCTTGTCAGTTTCTATAAATAAAACCTGCTATGTTTTGATTGGAATTTCCTTGAATCTATAAATCAACTTGGAGAAAACTGGTATCTTAATAACACAGAGTTTCGTGGTCTATGAACATGATGTATCTCTCTATTTAGTTAGGTCTTCTTCAGTGTTTCTCAGCAATGTTTTGCAAATTCCAGTGTAGAGGTCTGCAGATCTTTTGTTAAATTTATTCCTAGAGGTCAATGCTACTAGAAATGGTACTTTTAAAATTTCATTTTCTATTTATTTGTTGCCAGTAAATAGAAACACAATCATTTTTTGCATTTTGCCTTTATAGCCTGCAACCTTGCTAAATTCACTGTTCTAGAAGTGTTTATATGTGTGTGAGGAAGGATTCCTTTAGTTTTCTACATACACAAACATGTCGTCTGTGAAAAAACACACTTGTACTTCTCCCTTTCCAATCTGTATAACTTTTATTTTATTATTATTATTATTATTATTTGCCTAAATGCATGGACTAGTACTCCTAATACAGTATCGAAAGAATTGGTGTGAGTGAATACCTTGTAATGTTCTGAATATTGGAGGGAAAGTGTTTCATATTTCACCATTAGATATGGTGTTAGATAAAAGTTTTTTGGCCGGTCGCAGTGGCTCACACCTGTAATCCCAGCACTTCAGGAGGCTGAGGCGGGTGGATCACAAGGTCAGGAGTTTGAGACCAGCCTGGCCAGCATGGTGAAACCCCGTCTCTACTAAAAATACAAAAATTGGCTGGGCGTGGTGGCAGGTGCCTGTAATCTCAGGTACTCGGGAGGCTGAGGCAGGAAAATCGTTTGAACCCAGGAGGTGGAGGTTGCAGTGAGCCGAGATTGTGCCATTGCACTCCAGCCTGGGTGACAGGGTGAGACTCCATCTCAAAAAAAAAAAAAAAAAAGCTTTTCATAGATGTCCGTTTTCTATTCCTATTTTAATAGGAGTATGAACTGATGCTGACTTTTGTTAAATGTCTTTTCTGCATATGAAATGGTCATGACTTTTTTCTCCTCTATGATGTTAATGTAATGAGTCACATTGATTTTTGAATGCTAGAAGAACCTTGCACTCATTCCTGGGATAAACATGGAGCATAAGGCAATGGTAAGGTGGAGGCAGAGATTGGAATGATGAGGCCACAACGCAAGGAACGCCTTCATCTACGTTGTAATATAAATATTTCTCATAAGATATATACTAAGATACGAAATTACCAACTGAAAGGCAATGAGCACCTTTAATTATGATAACATTTATGGAGCTAACATTTATTGAGCACTTGATTAATTCATTTCATTCTCACAAGTGTATGAAGTAGACACTATTATTATCCCCATTTCTTGGAATTTTAATTCAATTATTTTTTGTTTTTAGAGATGGGGGTTCTTGCTATTGACCAGGTTGTCCCCATTTTAAAATTTTTAAATTATTATTATTATTATTATTTTTAGAGATGGGGGTCTTGCCCCTGTTGCCCAGGCTGGAGTGCAGTGGGATGATCATGGTTCACTGCAACTTCAAACTCCTGGGCTCAAGTTATCCTCCTATCTCAGTCTCCAAAGTAGCTGGGACTGCAGGTGTGTGCCACTATGCCTGGCTAATTTTTAAAATGTTTGTAGAAATAGTACTCACTTTGTTGCCCAGGGTGGTCTTCAACTCCCGGACTCAAGCAATCCTCCTGCCTCAGCCTCCCAAACTCTTGGGATTACAAGCATGAGTCACTGTGCCCAACCTGTCCCCATTTTTAACAAATAAAAAAAAATAACTGAGACAGGTTAAATATCTTGTATAAGTCACACAGCTGAAAAGCATCAGAGCCAGCCTCCTAACCATTTCTACCAGTGGTTCACAAAGTGTTCTCCCTGGACCAGCAGCATCAGTATCACCTGGGAACTTTTTAGAAATACATCTTCTCAGGCCCCACTCTAAACCGCTGAATCTAAAACTCTGGGGGTGGGACTCAGCAATCTGCTTTAATGAGCCTCCAGGTGATTCTGATGCATGCTGGAGTTTAAGAACCACTGACTTACGTGTACCCTTCTCACATATTCTCCCAAATTACTTTCCAAAATGACCGTACTAATTACACCCCCACTGACAGTGTATGAGAATGCCTGTATCCTTTGGCTTTGCCAAAACTCACTGTGAGCAATCTTTAAATTATGAATCGATCTGACTGGCAAAAAGTAGTGTCTTGTGCTTTAAAAAAAAATGTGGTCTTCCTTCTAATGAGAGAGTCAGGTTCTGTCCCTTCTCCTGCCTCTGCTTGGGCTTCCTTCCCTTCCTAGTCTCTGGCTCCACTGAGGATTCTCAATTTTAACACTACTAACCTTGACAGGCAACTATGGGTGCTTGAGCACTCAATTAATCTTAGCCTTTGGGAGCAGGGAGAAGCAAATAGGTTATCTTACGTAAATACAAAAATCTCATTTTGTTTGCTGAGCATAAAATACAACATCTTTTTTACTTCAACTTTTGTCAATGAAAATCTTTTTCTAAATTTTACATTTTTCTTAGATCTTTGTGTACTTATTGGTGCCAGCTACTGAACATGAATGAGGATGATCGGTAGAGGAGCAGAGGAGTTTTGTAGTCATCTGAAGTGTCTTAGTCCATTTTGTGCTGCTATAACAGAATATCACAGACTGTGTAATTTATAAAGGAAAGAAATTTATTTCTCACAGTCTGGAGGCTGGGAAGTC